TATTTGTTAGCCCGTTGTCCATTCGATCGCTGACTGGAGAATTAGGGAGCAAGGGTGAGGAACAAGGAGGTGACTGTAATATAATCAGCACGCGATCCTTCCATTTGAGCAGCGCTAAACCTTGCTCATTTCATAAGCCCCCTCCTCCCCCTTAGTGACTCGTAAATCTTTCCTCAAAGAAGGTCTCGCCTCAAGTCCCCGCTTGAACCTAAATTCGCCTTAACTCATCGATTGAGCATACTGCCGTGATAATTAAACGCCACCCTTGCACGGAATTGACGTGTTATTCTTGTAACAAAAGATATAGTTTCAGACAAGTAAAAATCCCTTCGTTTCTGTCACAATTTGCATACTCAACCTGATGAAGGCACACCTTTGGTCGCCATGGATAGCTAATACAGCCGATGTACAGAGGATTTCCATTAGCATCGATCGTTTTAAACATTACGGGATGAAATACGTAATTATTCGTGCATCACTGCATTGAATTGCATACTCTTCTAACTTAAGGCGTTTCATTCTGCCTCGGCTTGCATTTGCCTAAAAAACGAATCACGAATTTCAACGAATGGGCCATTCAAATACTCCGCAAATTATTTTTGGTCCCTCCCTCCTTTTGAAGCACCCAAAATACAACCTTTCGATTATTTTTTGAAATACATGGGACTTGCATGGCCTTTCCCTTCCCGCCTCTATTTTTCATAATATAACTGAGAAACTTTCAATGATAGCCAGTAAAGAAACTCTTTTTATGAGGAAATATTATTTTTTTAAACAAAGGGTGGATTACGTAAGACTGGACTTGATCCTTTATGCAAAAAAGCGCATTGTCTCGCGTCCACCATGGTTGTCAAAATTCAGGTGACCTCCTCCCAAAAATTAGACGTTTCGGTGAATAGTTTTACTCGTTCAAGTAGCTTTGTAAGGTTCACCTGTGTGCGTAGCACAGAAATTTACAGAGCAAGTCATCTGAATTTTGAAAACTGCTTCGGGCGAGGGGCGATGCCCTTTTTAATGAGTAGCTTACGTAATTCTTGAAAACAGTGTTAACTGCAATACCTAAAGTGTGTTTGAAGAGAAAAAATCTTGGACTTTGTTGTGAATTAAATGAGCCCCCTTTACGAATTTCCGAATTGATTTTTTTAAGGGTCCAAAAATATACTTCGATCTGAGACCCTTTATGGGCTGAATGGGTTTTGTGATTAAGGAAATGAAACATATTTTTTCTGGTCACAAAATAGCATTCCCTCGTGTTTTTACGATATGTTTGTCTTCCCTGAAAAGTTATGTCATGTCGGATGGACATGTGCCCTTTTTCAATTTACACATTCATTTATGGATGAGGCACTTGAACATCAAAGTTCACTCAGGAAAGGTTCCAAATTTCAATCCCATAAGCCATTCATCACTGGAACGGATGAGTTCTTTCTCAAATCACAGCGTCAATGGGCCTCGTTTGCATGCATGCGGTTATATGTATCTGAGCGTCACTATCGTTTATTGCATATTCGGCTAAATGAAGGCATTTTATACCATCGCGCGTCTACATAACCGCATGTTTCGGAGGAAAATACATCACGTTTTTGTTGTTTTCTTATATCTTGTCTTGCATAATAAAATCATAAATAAAGGTTTAGTTTGAGTAAAATTAAGTCAGATTTACCTCCGATTTCCCCTAAAAACTGGAATCACACGTTAGCACGCCGTGCCGCTGTAACAACTATGCAGTTCTGAAGCACTTAACGACACTTAACGACAGAGAGAAAGATGAGTCAAAAAATTGTAAGGTCATGTGGTGGACAAAAAAAGGTATAAGACGGAATTTTCAAGGTAGAAATAAAATATAAGTTTCGACTAAAAAGATGCAGAGAGCTAAAAAGAGAGACAGTTAGCGAATAAAAAAGAAGGGGTGGGTGTGAGGGAAAGGGGGTGAAGGAGAGGAGGATAGAAAAACTGGAAACTTGGTTCCTTTATGTATGTATCATTGTTTGAATTGTTTGATGGTACTGCAATAATCTCATTCCTTTATTCTGCCATCCCACATTCATCGCTCTCCACTCTCTGTACAGTTGTCTATCGCGCGACTATACAGAGTTTCTGTTATTAATGGTTTAAGTTTGGCCTTTCCCACAAATCATTTTTTCAACTCGGAGTTTCTTTTATTCCGAAGGAATGGGGAAAAGAGAGGAAAATAAAGCGAATTTCCAGTCGTTTTGCGAACCCGGTGTCCTTTCGCTCGTCTAAGTTGTGTCTTCGACGAACTTTGTTTCGCAAGTTCTCCTCACATCAGTTGCATGGGAGTTACACTCTTTCATTCGCCCGGAATTTCGGCTTGTTTATTACTCACTCGTCGAAGGGTGGAGGCCATAAACTGGCGAGATTTGTGGATATGTGCTTGCGAATGTAAAATATGAACTAAAAGAGAATTGGGGTCTCTGATCAGATCTTAGAAATATCAGCAACTACTTGACCCGCGCTTCGATCTCACCCCTCTGTATTCTGTATTCTCTGTATTCAATTTTGGACAGAACTCTCCGGCAAACACTCTTATATGCTAAAATGATTAGGGTGATTGGACGGACGCTATATATGGTGTGCCAAAACGACGTGCGATATATCGCGCCGATTGGTACCATTTTTTCAGCTACTCGTCATTTTTCTCGAATTTTGAGATCGCAATTGAATCGGCGAGAACGAAAACACACCAACTTGGTAACTCGAAAATGCTCAATTTTCATGAAAGACATTCAATTTTCAGGAAGGTCCTTGAAGTTACGCATCTGTTCCAACTTGGACCTATAAAGTGTCCTCAAGCACATGTCTTTCGGCCCCAAAAATTTTTTTATTTAACTTTTTACAAACTTCTTCACCTACTGTGAATTAATGTGTGTGTCTTGATTATTTTCATTTTTTCGAGTTGGTGTGTTTTCGTTCTCGCTGATTCAATTCCGTTGTCAGGAGACTAAAAAATTCACTTACCAATTTTGACAAACAAATTCAACGTAATATAGGCGTGGTTTTTTTAGAGGGAAAATATCGCATTCGAGTTCAGTTTCGATATCAGTATCGAATGCGATACGTTTCCTCTAAAAGAAACACGCTTTTATTAAGTTGAATTTGTTTGTCAAAATTGGGAACTGAATTTCTTAATCTCCTGACAACAAATTTGCTATCTCAAAATTCGAAAAAAATGACAAAGTAGCTGTGAAAATAGAACCAATCGATGCGTTATATCACACGTAGTTTTGACACAGAATATAGCGTCCATTGAATCACCTTAAAATTAAATTCCCTGAAATTTCAAAACCGTTCTGAAAAGTGACGAAAACGAGTAAGATAGCCCTGGTAAAAATTAACGATAAGAGCTGCGTTTCAAAATACCATAGGAATTCTTATAGCCGACTAAAGAAGGCTACAGAAAATCATATAGCTGGCTGTAGAATGCGGAGAAAATCATACGGCCGGGCTATACGAAGCGATAAAAAATTATGCAGCCGGGCTATAGTTCCTATCGCCGGGCTTTACGCTTCATCGTCGGGCTTTACACTTGATCGCCTGGCTGTTGCTTTTTCGCCATTGATTATAAAAGGCTATAAGAAATTGTGTAGAAATTCGTGTGCTTTGGAAATCATTAAGTTTGATACGGAACCACCTTAATATTTACAAAACACACATTATATTTTCCCTTAATACATATTTTTTTTCATGAATTAAAATGAGACTAATCCATACAGGATGTGCAAACATTTCAAAATCATGAGTTGAATAACGCTGACGCCGCCAGATTAAATATTAGAACCTAACACAAAGCGGAGCGGCGACCCACTGGCGCCTACAAACCTAACAAGGATACTTCACGCATTGCGCAACGCGTGAAGTATCCCTGTTAGGTTTGTAGGCGCCAATGCGTGTTTCGCGCTGGCTGCCCGCCTGCCACGGCACTTGAAGCAACTATTTCACACCAGAGGTATTGCACAGTATCATACGAAACTGAAGGCGCTCTAATATATTAGTAATCAAAGGTACGGAGCTTTCCTCGCAAAATAAATCAAGATACTACGGCCCAAAAAGAGAGCAGTATTCCAAAAACTCACTAAGTCCTAGCATCCGTAATTAGTAACGCTTAGCATACACTTTATCGCCTGACTGTTGCTTAATCGCCATCGGCTATAAAAGGCTATAAGAAATTGTGTAGCCGGCTATAGACGCTATTGGAAATCTTACAGCCGGCTGTAGGTCTATGGTATTTTGGAACACAGATTTTACTGCCAATTTTTACCAAGGAGATGTGCAAAAGTCTCTCCGTAGCTCTTTAGGATTTCCAAAAAGGGCAGTGGTAAGGAATTTCATAGGGTTAGAATGCAGTTTACCCGTGTAAAATTTCGAGAACAAATCGTAATAATAATTTCAAAAATGGTCTTTTAAGGGGAGGAGAAGCTGATCAAAATCCAACCAATCAAAAACCGACAGTCACGTTGACGTAGCAAGGCAAAGCCTGAGACTGTACGAGTTCCGTTAATCACCAAACGCCGTTTACCCCGCCTAGCTATGTCATCAAAGCCCGCCAAAAATTCCGTTTCAAACTGGTTTCATTTTTGGCATTTTTAAGACGGGGTTTCTTCGTCATTTTAGGGTTTAAAAAATCCGAAAAAATTCTTAAAAGCTCACTTCACTCAGCACGGAGAAAAAACTTCGTGCGTGGGACCCGAAGTTGAAGTTAAATGGATCTCTGAAGTTTTTGAATGGCGCATCTAAAAACTTGAGGTCCAGTTTCCGAAGTTAGGATCAAATATATGAAACACCCGAACTTTGAGGTTTGGCCATAACTTCGGAAGCTGGATCTTAAGCTTTCGGATGCGCGATCCGATTTTAATTAAAAAGGAAAAACAAAAAGAAGGGAAGAAATTTAAAAAACAATGTATTCCTTGGATGCTTGCATTAAAGTCCTTGGTTGAGAGATCATCCGTTCAAATCGTCATCCTGAGATACTGTATCATCAGTCGACCCGAGGTTAAGGTAATGATGTGCTTTTTAAACGAACTGAGGTTTAACGATCCAATCTCACGAAAACTACGGTCCTTTCAGAATCATCAGAAGTAAATTGGTTTCAAGTGTTAACTGACAAGTTTACTGTGTGGCGTTTCACCCATTCGCGTTCACGTTAACCGCGGGTCTCTCAAACAATTTTGCCATTCGATAGACTGGAAACGATTCCCTGTTTCGGACATAATTCAGCTGAATGTAGCAGGTGATTTGCAACAATATACCTAGCTGTACTAATTTAGTCCGCATATTTTTTATTTGTCTCCTTTGAAATGAATATTTTTCAACTTTCAAATATTAATTTGGTGCTGTATAGGTGCTGTTTTAATCATTCAACTACCTACCATGTAATTTAAATATGAAAGGGACAAATAGAATTATGAGGTCGACATAATTTTCGACCCCCCCCCCCCCCCGATGGTTTTATTCCGACTCGATTTTTTTTCAAACTTTGTCGGCAAGAAAACATTTTCTTTCAAAAACCCATTTAAAAGGTCTTTTCGCTCGATTCCTCTCCATTTCCGGAAAGCAATGAATGATTACTACCATCTTTTTCAACTTCATATCAGAATCATTTGTTACAATTAAAATATATCTTCAGTTAGGTATAAACAATCATTTTTCATGAAAATTATTCTTGAAGATCAACTTTATTTTCAAGTGGATCAGAGTAAGAGAGCTCAGTTTAACAGCTTTTTGTTTAATTGACAATTTGTTATTAAACCCTTTACCTTAAATTTGAGTAAATAAATTAAGTTAACGACCCTCTCACTTCAACAAAATGCTTGTTAATCTAGGGGACTAAACATTAAGTCAATCTGTATGTGTTGAAGGTCCGATCTCGCCAGAAAGAAAATCCTGTAACCATGCTGCGTGTGTTCGTTTTTTTGCTCCTGACTGTGATGACATCCTTCATCATGCCTCATAATGCCCTGGAAGCAAGCCCCCCCTGCCTACCACTTGATACGCCATGTAACGTCCCCCAAGGTTCAGGCGATCCACCTTGTTGTGCGGGGTTACATTGCGCGGTATCTACAGGAAGTTTTACAACTTGTTCGCCCTGAGAAAAAAAAAAAAATGGTTACAGGGACTGATCTTCGGTACGTACTGAAAACCAAACTTTTTTTTTCGGTAATCGAATTTTCCGGTCATAGGAACCGAATTTTGGTTTCTTGAACCTGGATTCGCTTTTTGTGACCGAAAACTTCTGTTACCTGATAACCGAAAAACTGGCGTTCAAAATGAATCGAACTTTTGTTATTCGAATAGAATACCCACTGCACAGCTAAACTTGTTTCGCTCTGTCAGAAACTGAGACACCAAACAAATCGCTAAAATAGCAGATCATTTAATTGCAAATTTACCATTTTGACATTTGCTGTACCCACAAAATTAAATTGGAAAATAGTGAATTAATTTCGTCAATTGTTTTTTTTTTTTATTCTCAACGTAGTAAATTATAATTAACAATTAATAAAAAAATGTAAAATTATGGATCTGTCAGTTTTCCTTGAATTTCAATGTACTCAGATGGTATCCCGAAAGCAATCGCAAGTTTCTTGCGATTTTTAAATGAAATCGATGACCTCTTAATCATTAATGCACATCAAGGTGATATTAATCGATGAATATACTATTCAAAAGGAGACTGACAAGGCCAAGATAGATGGGGATCAGGATTCAAAACAAGAGCTCGACAAATAAATAATTAACGGTAATAAATTATAGTGTAGCGCAAATAAACTTGAATAGCTCCAAAAAAGGAAATATCTGTTTACATTACTCTTAAGTTTAAATTCTCAAAATGATTGAAAAATTTTAATTTTTCTTCATGAATGCCTTCTTGAAGAAAAGAAAAGATAAGTCATCTTCTCTCGAACGAGGGGCTGTTAAGAACAGTCAAAAATAAGTAGTGACATATCAGTAGCAGCAAATCAGCTGAACGAATTGATGAAAAGTCAAAGGCGAAACTAGGAACTTTTCGTTGGGGCCTAAAGGGTACCTCAAAGGGGAGGGGGTCTCAGGGGGCACAAAAAACATCCAACCAAGGGGGGTTTGCTTATGTCTGGGGACTCTCCTGGCGCCGAAGGAGGGTTCGAGGAATTTTCCTAGTTTTACAGGGGACCGGAAAATTTCGAAAGATTGAGTAATCTCGTAAGCAATGAGCTTTTCTCACCGAAAAATTGATCGAATTCCCATTTTCAAGATGAAAAATACGTCATGTACTCTCTATGCAAAATTCTTCACATTTCTTTGGAGGGGCTATGAAAATTTCTGAGAGAGTCAGCCCTCTCGACCCCCTTTCCGCCCATGACCAATCGACCTAAGTAGAATTTGCTTACTAAAATAAGAAAAATTATAATTGGTTATTTCAAAAAACAACTTACATTGCTAACTGAATATCTTCCAAATGCCAACACTGCAACTGACTTATTTCTTTTGTAACCAGGTAAGCCAATGCTCGGTTATAGTTTCAAACATTTAGTTTTATATAATTTTATAAAAAATGTGTTGCTAATTTAGCAAACGGATGTTTATTGGTAAATGATTAAAAACTAACCAACTGACCTTATACTTTTTTTTTTTTAAAAAAAAAAATGGAAAAATGTATGGGAATTCAAAATCTGATAAGTGTCATCAGTCGTTGCAATAAACAGGCAACTATTTCTCATTAAACGGGAATTCAGAAGGTCTGCAAAGAGTGTCAATTCTTGTTATGAAAATAAGACTGAAATTTAGAAAAAATAGCCTCATAAAAAGTAAAAAAGGTGGAGGTATTTAGGTCCCCTCACGGAGACTTTTTTTTTAATACCATTCGCTTTTTGCAGGCTTTGCAGAAAACCGCTGAGTTCTGGCCCAATTCCTCCCTCTTGTTTTTCGAATACTTCATGAGGTGTACTAACACGATTACCACAACGCGACACGTCGCAAATGGATAGCATTAAGCGAGAAAGAACCGCAGTTAAAATTGAGGGGTTTGTTGTCCAGTGCTCGGGAGAGCTTCCCTTGAGAGTAACTATTAAGTCGAAGACTGGTCGAGATGCAATGGAGCAGTTACTAAGCTCTTCCGAGCTTCAAGACACTTCAGTCCAGTTTACACAATGAAAGTTTTCATCCAATTGAGTTTGGTTGAAGTTAATTCGGCGGAGTTGAATGGGATTTTACTTGCGACCTTTCACCCTACTGCACAGAAAGTCGAGAAAGACTTGAATGTGACTTCATATTCAGCTTCTCGCGCAATTTTCGGTTTTGTGTATGTGGCACAGTTTCAAATAACATTTGATTTTATGTCGCACCAATTGTTTGTGGTGGAAAATTTCATCGTCCGGATTCGCTCCGCAAAATCTTACTCCACAAAGGAAAATTCATATCGATGGTGAAACTGCAAAGATGCGTATATCGGTTAGCGGCGTTGCAGACTTCCTGTCATACTTAATTTTTTACATGGAAAACCACTCAACGTCATTTATTGAAAACTTCGAAGACTTTTCCTCTCTATGTAAAGAATATTCGGTGAAAATTTTAAGTCATTATGTCGGTTTGATGCCCCCTAAAAATTAAATAGGAGCGAGGATCTCACAGCAACGAGATACACATATCTGCAGTTTAACCCTCGATACAGACTTAGAGAGGATGCAAGAGAGATGAATGAACAAAAATCAATAGAACCTCGCACTATCCACCTCTTCACTTCTAATTTTTATCATTACTCTGACGGCACATGGCTGGAATGTACGAGAAAACAGTCGTTTACGATTGTCTCATTTCAACTTTTGGTTTGCATTTATGACTTTTCATCAGAATATGGCAGCGAGCTTGGAAAACCCTATTTGTGCCCTATTGTACATTAACATTGCACACCCTAGCCGCGCCGCGCTGACCGCACTTTGTTTGGCGTAATGTGTGAAGTATTCCTACAGTCTTGTAGGCGCTATGCGTTTCACGCCGCGCCGACGCGACCGCCGCGGAACGCACTGTGTTTAACGCAATGCGTGAAGTATTCATGCAGTCTTGAAGGTGCTAATATGTGTTACATGTCGACCGCCGCACAGTGGAATTGAGTCAATTAGAGAGGTTGGACATGAAATTTTTGACAAAAACTGCAAATGTTGATGTTTATCTCGTCACATTTTAAAGTTCAAGGGGTGATAAAGGAAGACAATTTCACGAGAAAACCAATGAAACCACTTGCAGAACATCAGATTTTTATATAAACGGAGTTGTAAGCCTTTAAAGTTTCCAAATTTTGTCCCGCCGTGCGCCGCGCCGACGGCTTCTCCTTTTCATCTCAAGTCCTCATCATCATTATTCTCTACGCCGCGCCGCTCCATGCCAAATTGCGTGTTTGGTTTCTCTCTTGACTCGACTAATTGAATAAGGTGCTGTCTCTTGTGTCACCGAAAGACGCTTTTCTCGTTTGTAATTTTTTTTTTTCTGAATCCAATTTTTTTATACCTACGTTAAAAAAAAATGCAAAATTTGCCGTCACGGGTCGCGGCTCGTGTGGCTACCCCCTTAATCCGGCCCTGCAGGTAAAATTAACGACAAAGCTAAACTAAAGGAACCTCTTGTGTCCCCAGTAGCATGCTGTCAATTCTACCCAACATGGGCACGACAAAACAGCGATAAGACACAGCCAAACAATCACACTACCCCATTCTTCTCACGTCATCTATGTTCACCCGATAAACCCAAAATTTCAAAAATCGCACTGAAAAAAAGTTACGGGCTATAGAGACGCACCGTCCGTTCCGGACTCGGAGGCTGAGACTTCCGGGTGCCGGAGCCGTAGCGTCGATTGCTCCCGCACTGAAAAAAAAAACTGCTAAAATCAACACATGAAATAGTGAAAAAAGGTGACAACTCATCAAAATAGATTAAGAACACCGGGTTGATTTTACTAATTTGGTGATTTGTCACCGTATTTTAGCAATTTTTTTTTTTCAGTGCGGTGCTACGCCCGAAAATGTCGGCCTCTGAGGCGGACGGTGTGTCTTCATAGCCCGTAAGTACGGCTTCCACGGCCGGAGTTCTTTTTCAGGTGCGGTCCGCTGAAGCTAGAGTCCCTTTATACTGAGAGTCAAGACAACACCCCTCATGGAGTCACAAACGGGAATAAAGATTACACTAATTGAACGTTTTTCGTAATCTTTGATTGGCTCATTCTTAAATTCCTTTCTCCGTTCCTTCTCTCATTCCGTTTGTTCCTTGTCGAACCCGAAATTTCTCGGTCCATTCCAGATTATAATCTTTGCAATTGGTGAAAATGTAATCTTTATTCCCGTTTGTGACACTGTGAAGACCTAAAATCCGGTTAACCAATCAGAAATGGATTCGCATTGTCTTGACTCTCAGTATAAAGGGACTCTAGCTGAGGCTAGGAGGCAGGAGGGCTCACCTTGCGTAAGACTTGAGGCATTTTGTCGATGGGCCACTTCTTGAGGGTGTACTTGGAGAGACTGGAGAAGGGCTCGATGATCTTGGTGGACTCCTTGAGGGCGCGGAGGGCGTCCACGCGTCGCTGGAGGTAGCGCCCGGCGGTGGCACGTTCCCGACGGATGCTCGGCTGCAGGTTCTGGGCGTGCTGCTCCGGGTTGTAGATCAGGTCCGCCGGGAGCTCCGCGAAGTTGAGCAGACGCTGACTGGCAGTCACGCGGGACCCGCAGTCAGCGCTGCTCCCCACTCCGCCGATATTCATCCCTGCTCACGGCACGCTTTTCATCAACTCCCTATAATCATTGCAAATGTCTACCCTCAAAGGCAGAGAGTATAGACAGTCTCTGCTCAATGGTTCCTATGGGAGCTTCATCTTCTCAACCTTGAAGTTTGTCACCATACTAGAAAATCAAAAAAGGTGGTTACCCTGCGGGCCGATTATTGACAATGATAGACAAAGCTATAGACAAATATGCAAAAGGGATAGGGGGGATCCTATTGGTGGAAGCGGATGGTTGCAATGGACGAAGGAGGTACGTAATAGACTGACGAAAGGCAGCACACGAGAGACCCAATAATTGGACCGCGTTTAGCAGAAAGGAACCAAGCTACATCAGCTATTGTCAAATTTAACTGATCAATTTGATTTTTTATGAGAGAGCGTTTGTGCGGATGCCTTTGAAAATTTTAAGGAATTTGCTTTGTAATATGGAGGAAGTTCACTAAATTTGCACGAAAATCAGTAAAACCGTTTTTATGTGGAAAATTAAATTGCCCAATTAAATTTGGCAATAGCTGACTTGGCTTGGTTCCTTTCTGTCTTTTCCGTCATTTTCTTCCATAGTCTATTTTAACCACCCATCTCAACCAATAGGATCTCTCCATACTCCCTATGACTTCTTTGTCTATAGCTTTGTCTATCAATTTCAATAATCATAATTCTGATAAATTCGATCCGTGCGATATCATGCTGAATCAGTCGAATATCATGTTAACATAAATCAGCATGATGACATGCTGGCAGGGAAACCCGATATGATATCATAGAGTATTATGGAGTCGCATGGTACAGGAGCACCAATGAAGTTACTTTTTGAGGCTGTTTTGTCCAGTGCTGCTTAAGACTACCGTGCGGAGACAGACGATGCCGTATACGCGGGGTCCCATTGGCCTCGCTCAGAAAATATAAGGTACACCATTTTTTTTTTTATAAAAACTGGGAGTTTCGTACATATTTTATGACCAAAGTCAACACGATATGCCAAAATTCACGAAAATAATCATCCATTTGAAGTAATAAATCCCGAAAATCACTAGCATGCTGTTTGGCTCATACACTTGGTTCACACTTTCGGCGAACGAAATGCCAGGATTGGCTCAACGGCGTTCCAGTACGTTGCGACTCTGTTGCACTCTATGTATGATATCAGTGTGATGCTGGCACACCGTTAAAAATTTCTGAGTTTGTAGTTACTTTGTGCTTATTTGAGTATAATTTTCCAGTTAGGTCAACCAAAAGGACTTAGTTGATCGACCAGAGTCTTGTTACGTCGACCGAAACCGTAAGTTACACCGAGTCATCTGCGGATGAAGAAAGTGTCCCGTTGAACTAATTTACTCTTGTTCCTTTTGATGACACTCAGGGGTTGATACTCGCTAGAAGCTTGCGCACTGGAGTACCCATCAATGTGATCCAGGTTTATTCCTGGAGGTCGCTCCTGATTTTTAACGTGGTTGCAAATGTTCGACTTGGAGATTTGGTCGATGTAATGAAAAAAAAAAACTAACCTTAAAAATATGAATTTCAGTTTCCTTTGTGCTCTACATCTCACATTGACACAGAATGTCAGTTACTTTTCTTTACTATGCCCTATATTACGTGGAAGAATCGGCCAATTCACTTTATGATATCATGCTAATTGACTTTACCAGGGATATCTGAGCTGTTTCACTCCCGTTTTGAAGAATAACGTCGTATGAGTATTCAAATGTCGCCAAATTCTCTCAAACTAATTTTTTATGAAACGTATAAACAATCATCTTGTAGGACTACCTTTCATTTTTAAAGTCACGAGCAGACAAGTATAGTCTAGCATGATGATGTTAGTAGGATGACAGATGAAAAACTGATAGAAAGATGCTTCATTGGGTTCTCCCTGGGATGGGGGCACTGAAAAAAATGGTATGCTATTTTAGCACCTAGGATGTCAAAAATGTGTCTGGTGATCCTAAGATGCTACCTTGATTGATCCTAAGATGCTACCTTGATTGCCCACGCAGTTGAATTTGCATTCATAGGATGTAAAGTTAACCGCTAGGGCAGTAAAGGCAGCATCTTAGGATCATCAGACACATTTTGGCTATCGGGCGCTGATAGATTCGGTAAAGTTCCTTCTTATTAAGACCTCTCGTTAAGATGCCAAGAATTTTGAGGCTTTCATATAGAATAATTTTGCGACATTGCACAGTGAGAAAAAAGAACCAAGATTTTGTGTTGATGTGGGATGTAGAGCACAAATGTTATATTGCTTCCTTTGAAAAATTCTTTTTTTCTTAAATTGACCAAATTTCTAGGTAAAAAAGACGCTAAATCCGTATGAAGTAGACCTTGGATGGCTGTTTTGAACTTATAGTTTTTGGTTAAAAATTTAATGCGACGCCCAATCGCACGGTAAAAAGAAAAACGCGAATACATTTGTGAGTCTAACAAAAGCGCACCGAATCACATTTTAGAAAAATAAGTTGGAGGTAGCTTTGAACTCCCAGCTCCCCGTAAATTACCTATCTCCCATTAAAAATTCATAAAAAAAAAAAATATTTTGAACATGGAAATAGACGTTGAACTTTGTCCCTAACATTGCGTCTTAAATGAAGGAGAAATTTCCGAACCTTTTTTTCCTCGGTAGACGTGATTCGACTTTCAGTTAGTTCGCCTCCGTTAAATTCTGTCCATTAGATCATCAGGACACTTTCTCAAAGAGATGCCTCGGAGTAACCTTAAGATTTTGGGAGATTTAACCAGATGTTTTGGTTGCTTTAACAAAAAATTTGGTTGATTTACCAACTCGCACTGTTAAAAAAGTTTCTATGATTTAGACCTAGGGCTCTTAAACAATTTGACTAAAAAAATATTATTGATTCGATCAAATTATTTCTTGAACTAAGAGCCAAGACTCTTGATCGAAGCGGATTTCCTTTTGATTCAAACAAAAATCCGATTGAATCAAGAATATTTTTTCTTTAAAATTTTCAAGAGTCTAGACTTTGGATCCAAGAGGATTTCTCCCCATGCATTTTGGTCAATCTGACCGAAAGAAAAGTAACCCCAGTAACTGAGAGCACCGACTCTTTTAATTGTGTATCTTCTAGGATTGAAAATTTTTCACAAAATTTCGCAGGTGTCACTTTTTTGAGCTATCGCGCACAAAAAATTTTCTCGATATAAGCTTCTTTAAACGATATTCCTTTTAAATCTCGGCTGACTCTGCCAGGCTGTCACGGACGGAAAATTTCGCGGTGCGCGAGAGTGATTTCAAGCGGAAAATGCAAAGGCTCTTAAGTCTCATCTCACGAACCGGGCACAACGCCGGGTCCGACACGACTGGCTCCCGCGAAAAGGGTAGCACCGCGTCTTCATTCCCTCCGCCCCCGGGGCGAGGGGCATCCCCCCGGAAGCGCTGGGAGGGGGAGGGGGTGCCAAACTTGGCCCACCCGCGCCCCTTCGCCTGCAGTCCTCCGCTCCACCACACTGCCACACATCAGAGTTTCGCTAGTGCCCTATCGATCGCTATTCCTATTTACTTTCATGTATCCCATAACAATTTACAGACAACTCTATCCGAAATTTTTATCCGGGGGATCGGGGACTCTCTCCTGCGTGGAGCCTCGATGTCTGTCCGCTCGTAAAATTTGCAGCGGATTCTGGATTTATGTCTCGCGTTACGGACCGTTTTCGTTGTCGTTCCTTGGACACATCTTTCCTAAGAGAGGAACGCTTTAAATTTTCTCTAAGAGAGGATTAAGGAAGCCTTCGGCAAAGGCATATCATGAAACAGGCAACCAGGGCTCCCATTCCATGTCCGTCAAAAGTTTCGCGATTCGGGACTTTTTTGTTCCAATTTCTCCTACTTCATGGCCGTCAAAAATTCCGGGATTCCTTTAAGATTTTTTTTCAAAATTTCCGGGAAAGTTCCGGAAATGCCAAAGATCCGGAACATCTCAGGAATTTCAAAAGTTCTGGAATTTGGAACTAATTTTGGGCAATGGAAGCCGTGGAAATAGATCCTTGAAAGGGATCACGACACCACATAATGCTGTAAAAAACACAAAATAACAAATAAAAATTGGAACCATTGAAACTTTTAAGGTAAGTCAGCCCCTACCTTAAAGTTTGTGCAAATGAAATGAAGGTGTTGGCACACTCTCTTGCCCAAAAACTCATTATTTTTGTTTTGTTGAGTTACTGTCGGCGGCACTGAATTCTTCTGTTGCAAATCGACAGTGAAGCTGCGAAAATGCATACTTTCGGTTGTGGAATTTCGAAATCTCCGCTACTATTTTATTTTTTAAAAGGAAAAACATCATGGCTTGAAGTTTTCTCAAAACATTCTTCATAAAGAGAAGAAAAATCACTGATATGTTAAAAAAATGGCGTTTAGTAGTTTACCATATAGAAAATAAAGTATGACGGGAGGTCTGCAGCGCCGCAAACTGAGTTACGCGTTTCTGCAGTTTCACCATCGAAATAGAGGCTAACACGCATAAGCCAAGCAGTGGCCGCAGACATTGGTCTTGAATGAAGAAAGATTAATCGTTTATACCGCATGCTAATTAAAATAATTTGTATATCACCGTCTTAAATTATTCATCAACAATTTTATGCGAGGGTGGTATCGAATTATCTTTTTAAAAAACAAAGTAAGACTGGAAATATTCCTACACTGCAATAGAGTGATGTGTTTCTCTGCCTCTATTATCCAGTGGAGACATTTATCATATTGGGGAGTGCATCATGAAATTCAGTTTTGATGGCTCCCAAGAGCTCCGAATTTGCGGATCGATCTGCCACAAAACAAATACTCTGACCCGAGGGATGTGTTTTTGTATAATCGCTCAAATGAAGGCGCCCAACGCTACGTACTGCACAGAATGTGATCTCAACTAAGCGATAAAGAGTACATTTCCACTTTATTTTGATCGGTTAGGCAACTATTTTGAAGCGTAAGCAGTTTTTGCGTGGCGGGCAGTCGCGTGGCGTGAATTGCGATGTATCGATTGTTATGCCATTTAAACCTATGGTAAAGAATCGATTATTGAGGTGTCCGCTGCGAACACCCTGTTTATCGATCCTTTTTCCTGGGTTTAAATGACATAACAATCGATGTATTATCGCGAAGCACGCCACGCCTCTGGTGGAGGGTCGAAATAGTTACTCTGGCAGGCATACACGATATTCAGATTCAGTTCTGACTGATTTTAAAGATTTATCAAAAACAAATGCATTGAGATACAAGAGAGTATAAATTTCATCTTTCGTAACAACCATTATCAAATATTCTGTTTGACATTTTTTAAATTCAAGCAATAAGTAAGAAAAAACGTTTGGAATGTTGTGGTGTTGGAAATCTTTAAAGGTAAAATTTTCGTATTCTTTGCATTTCATAAGCTAGTAATTCAAATCAGTGAATTTTCACACTTTTTTTTCACACTGCTATATGTAATATGTCGCTTCTTTGTGTTCGAGCAGGAGTATTACTTATATCTTTGGATGCATTTTAAGGTTTTTTTCCTTTCTTTTTTTTAAAAATTTTTAGCACAGAGGTATTTTAACAAAATCATACTATGTTCACCTATTGCATCTCTCTTTATGACGCAATATTGATACGCATTCGGCACACGTATGTATAAGGTTGCATGTTCCGCTAATTTACTCGTAGGTATTTTGGGTTTTCAGTTATCAGTTTCAGCAATCTCTATTGATTCGATAACTAAATTTAAATATTAATTGTGTACTCTAAACTAATTAAAACTCGCGTATTGAGTGTTTAAAAGAGGAATGAGAGTTATTACACGCTGATTATTATACTTTTAATTGCTCGTTTTGAATTGCTAATAGATAATAATTATTGCAGGAATAAATTACAGGAATGTCGAGCTCTAAACTCGGATAAGATGACGAGATTTGCATAATCTTTGATATCCTGCGGTTATTTAATGTGCCTCCTCTTAATATTTGAGTCGTTAAATGAAGGAGAAGAAAAATACTGCGGAAGAATATTGATCTCTCGGGGCGGGTTTCTCCAGATTGCCCAGCGGGCCGATTATTAAAATTGATAGACAAAGCTATAGACAGAGAAGAAATAGGGGTTATGGAGTGATCCTATTGGTTGAAATGTGTGGTTCTTATAGACTATGGGAGAACATGATGGACTAACTGTCGGGTTTCTCGTAGGTTGCCGTTAGTTTGTCTATTACCCACTGCCTTTGTCCATTGCAACCACCAGCTTTCACCAATAGGATCCCTCCATATCCCTTTTGTCAGCTTTTTCTATCAATTTCAATAATCGGCCCGCAGGTGACCATGAAACCACTCGCAGACCGATCACCAGGCACATACTCAATCAGGGTAGTTTCAATTAAAACTAATAAAATACTAAAGTAAATCCCAAAATAAAAACTTAAATTCACGGCAAAAATTCCATAAAAGCATGTAATTTAGATACTTTATCAAAACTTTAAAATATTTAAAAAAAAAACTAACGCTTTCACTGAGAGATTGTATGTTGTCACGCTTTTACCAACAGATTATGTGTTGTCACGCTTTCACTAGGAGATTATATGTGAAAGCGTTTTTTTAAATATTTTAAAATTTTTATACAACAGCTTTTAGTAATTTTTAAAAATTTGATCGTTTTATCAAAATTTAGATACTTTGTTTTATAATTAACTGCATGCTTTTGAACAACTGCATTCATTAAGCATTCAATTATAAACTTTGTTTCAATTAACAAAGATTCATATTGAGTTTAATACGGAGCAATCTGTCAGCAGTAAAAAGGAAAACCACTCGTTCCCCAAACAATCTGGCTTTCCTCAGCTGAATGCAGCCAACTGCAGTCGCAAACAAGGGTCCCTGTTGCACGCTATCGTAGGCATTTTAAACAGTCACTCACTGCTGCCGTGAGCACTCTGCACCGTATACGTTAGTTTTATGTGTACATAAAACTGAGGAAGTGGTAAAGAAGGAAATCACAAATGATACTAATTGATCGTGAAAAACACTTTTCTTGAGTTACTTTCAGATTGGTAGTTTCAGAGTTTTTACAGACGATTTTAGGAGGAAATCACAGGCAATAGTGTTCTTGCACTCGACGAACTGTTTTATCGAAATGAAAAGCGAGAAAACAAAAATGATAGAAACAATAAACGAAATACTTCTTTACGCATACATGTTACAGAAAACTAATTACTTGCGCTAAATAGGATGCATTATGAGCCACTGAGATACATGCTTTATAAGACCAGCCCCCGCTACCGGCTAACCCCAGCTTTTCTTTATCGAAACACTCCAATTAGATTCAAAATGCAACCCAAATAAAAATATATTTTCTGTAAGCTTTGAGTCTTCCCGGGCTCTGAACTGACCGTAGATTAATGTACATTCCTAGCTGGACTTCCTTTTAACTCTTCTGCAAAAACAAATATGTTTAGGGTATGTGTTTAAAAGTTTTTCCTTGAAGTGTTCATAGGTCAGGAAGTGCCGCAACCCACATTTAAGAGGCGCAACGTGTGATAAATGTATCAGAAATTTCAGCAATTTCCGGGAAATTGATAATGTAACGATAAAAATCAGTACCTAAGAGTTTACTCCAGCGGTGCAATCGGCGCCGCGGGTGAGATAAAAGAGCAAAGCAACGATTACCAGGCGAATTTCATTACAAAGCCTGGATACAACTATTCGAGCTCCACGGATGTCCGTGTTGCATAAGCACGGAAATTAAGGCGTTTCGGCTCTGCAGATACTCGCACCACTCACGACTTCACCTTCTGCGGCGCGGCAGCGGGTTGCACATTGCACCGCGAGAATTCAAAATTCATCTACAATTATGTGTAATTAAATTAATTGTGTTAATTCATTACAATTTAGTCATTGACAGGTCATAAATCAATTAAGGACCTATTAAACACGAAAAATTTCGATTAAAAGAAACTTTTAAGGCCATATCACCAGCATGGCGTCATTAAGCTGGATTTTTAGTAGATTATTTAAAAGGGAGGGGTGGAGGATCAATTACAAATAAATAAAAATGTTTAATTTTCGAGTAATTGACATTGATAGTGCTTCTCATTGTAGACTCAAGGAAACTCTGATGATTTTCCAAGTGTGAGAGATCGCAGCTTTTTGGACTTGCGCGAGTGAATGTAAAAAGGAGAGCTGTAGCCGTTTTAGGTTATCTACAAATGTGTGAGTTGTCAGACCTCCCATTTGCAGAATGACACCGGTTCGTCATCGCGAAGAAAAAAAAATCTTCAGATCAGAAAAGGAATGGAACGTCAAACATGCCTCTATGCGCTGATCTCTTGATCTTGATATCTT